GATAAAAAATAAAAAAAAAAAAGACCGTGCCCTTTTATGTAATGATGTTTACTTTGAATTTATATTGTTCACACAAACACTCCATCCATGCTTTCGTTCTGGCCCTCCGGTCCAGTTTAAGAAACCATTGTGGCCCTCGAGTCAAAAAGTTTGCCCACCCCTGGGTTAGGGAGTGGTCAGGCTGGTAGGCAGAAGCAATTAGGGGCAATCAGACAGGCAGGCAGGCTAGCGGTTGGTAGCCAGCAGTCCCAGATTGTGAGAGAGATGTCTGACTGTGGGATTGGGCCTAAACCAGCAGTTGGACATCCCCCAAGGGGTCCCAGATTGGAGAGGGTGCAGGCTGGGCTGAAGGACATCTTGCCCCGCCCCCGTGCACAAATGTCATGTACCGGTCCTCTAGTAAAAAGAATAAGGAAGAATGAATAAGAAGAAAATAACAAAAGGACCTTTTCTTTATGACCTGAGGTTTTACATGAACACGCTAAATTTTGTAGGAGCATATTGACACAAAGTGTATGGCAGGTAACTACCCTAAGAACCTGATATTTTCTGGACCTCAAAATGGCATTATTCTTACTACTTTGCTGCTGCTATTTCTTTCCCATGTACATGTTCTCCACACAGCAGCCAGACCCTCCTAAATCTTAAGTTAAATCACATCACTTTTCTGCTTAAAATCCCCAAATGGCTCCCCATCTTGCTGGGTAAAATCCAAGTTCTTGCAAGAGCCTACAATACCCTACATGATCACTGCACATCCCTGCCCCACCTCCCAGCCCCAATCCATTTCAAGAATATCTCAGATTTTCTTACCATTCTCCTTACTTCACCCCAGCCATACTGACCACTGTTCTACCTTAGCTTTACCGCATGCAGCTCCCACTCTGGGGCTTTTGGACTTGTATCACTTCTACCTAAAATGTTTTTCTCCTAGAAGCCTACATGGCTTGGACACTTAATTCATGCAAGTCTCTGCGGAAATGCCATTGTCCCAATGAGGCTTTCTCTAACCATCTTATCTCAAATTTCAACACCCCATGGACATTCCCCAACACCGTTACTCTGCTTTTTCTCCATAGCACTCAATAATTGATATATTTATGTGTTTATTGCCTATCTCCCCTCACTAGAACATAAGTTCCACATGGACAGGGACTTTGCTTTTGTGCACTGCTGAATTCCGGGCACAAAGTGAGCACTTCGATGTTTGTTGAATTGTTTTAATCAGAAAATTTTCAAATTCCTTGTTATGCCTATAAGCAGGAAAGCTAAAAGGACTTGAGGCTTCTAGAAATATATTATTTCCCCAACTGTCATGGATTTGCACTAGAGGCACCAAACAAGTAGTTCCAACTAGACTCCAATCTACTAGGATTTGAAGTAAGAGGAGGGGAATCCAATCAATATAACCTCTTCTACTACACTCAGGGAATTGACTGCCAGCACTGAATTCTTTCCCTCCCCATTTCTCCTCAAGGTTCTCTATTTTTTTTCCACAAAAAGGTCAGGGATTCCTGGACTACTGTGCTATAACTTACACAGAGCAGGTATCCAGACTGAAACCAGTCTTGGAACCAGTACATACCCAATCTCTCCAGAGTGCAGGCGAAAACCTGAACAGAAAGCCTTCTCAATCACACAGTTGAATCTTGTAGAAGCTTTTATTTCAATGACCAAAAAAACTGCAGTAAATAGAATCTATACTGATTGATTGACATTAGACATGCACCTCTACATGAAACTGCTGTTAGTTTTTGACAGGCCTAAATCTTTACAACTTATTTAGGCCCATCTTTGATTTTCTTTGACCCTGATATACAGGATCAGTTAAATTCTCCCTCGTGGCACTTTAGTAATGAGAATTATGTTCACTGGCTAGATTCCTTTATAACTAAAGGCCTCTAGATGCTCAGGCTGCCTGTACTACCTACCTCAAGACCATACTTTATATAGATACTTAAGTAAATCACAGTATAAGGAAGGGAGATAATTTAGAAAGCTGAATTATATTATATGAATATTCTATAGATTTTTTTCCCAGCACTGATGGTCAAAACACTAGTTAAGTACCAAATAACTCTTCTCCCATTGCCACCCTTTCTCAGACACCAAGATGGGTATCAATGTCCCTACGCATCTGAAATGAATCCACTAATGATAGATTTTATCCATGTGGTCCCACTATCAAATTATAAAAAGCAGTTCCACTATCCAAATTATACAAAGCAGTTAATGGGACGTTCAGAAAAACATAGTCCCACATACAGTAATATGCATCTAAGAAGGTTTTCCATTCATCTGCCAATTGTTTTCACAAGATTAACATTAAAAAAGCACAACCAAATACACATATAACCCTCAAGCCCCAAACACACAAAAATATTGGTCTTTGTTCATTCTCAGATGACCAGATGCTTCCAGAGTGCCAAAGGTGGGAGCCAATCCCCCTGCAGCCTTTTCTTCAACCACTCTTGAACTACCTTCCTTTTTCCAAAAAGGTAATGCTGAAATCAGTCAGAAAGGCTTTCTGAGAAGACTGGCTTGGATTTCTGGGTCTGTTCCAGTCGATTCAAGATGAATTGGCTTGTATCAATGAAGCGTTCAACGCAGTTCACAAAACAGGCCTCAGCCCGACTGTCCAACTTTGGCCCAGGCTTGTCCATGCACTTCTCCTGGTCAGGAGGACAAGATAAGAATCACAAAGGGAACTTGGGAAAAAAGGAAAGGGGACTAACTTCTTGTTGTTTAAAGGAAACACTTCACCTAAAACAGTATCTGATGTGTTAATAATAGTTCACATTTGGCAACAGCTTACTTTGTGGTGAGAAATTTTCTACAGCCTTACATCAAATTCTTATAACCCTACAGAATAGATACTATTATTATTAATCCTCGCATTATAAAGAGGGGAACTGTAGCACAGAGATATTTTGCCTAACATCATAGTACCATAAAATTGTAGAGCTGAGATTATTACAAAACTAGAAAAATGGTAAAATAGAAGTTAATTAATCCTTCACTGAATTTGGTTATAACTCCACAATGCCAACTGTATTAAATGCCTTTAATTTACTGCAGAATAAAAGGGTAAAAGGATAAATCATTGCAGCAAGACACCATAAAAAAACCTACCAAAGGGAAAAAAAGGTCTATGACCTGAGATTCTGTAACCTTGTCTACTTAAGCCAGAGATTCTTGAGTCCAATATGAATAGTAAATTGCATGAATTTTCCTAAAACTTGCAGAGTCTTGGAGGAGTACTTAATCATACCCAACACTGGACCAAATATAATGAATCACATTTTTTTTAAAAGAATCAAAGCACTGCTCCAAGGCAGACAGGAGTTAGGTAAGCATTTGTCAAGGGTCAGAGTCCAACAATACCGCAAGTTTATGGGAAAAGGACTACGGAAACCGTTGAGTGTATATAGTTCAAGTTATGCAGTTCAAATGAATTTGGTCATTATTCTATGCTCTGTACACAAGCCTCAAAACCTCTGCTTTCGAAATATTACCCTTGGCCTCTGAAGTCTATGGATTTTGTATATCAGGGCTGGGCAGTTACACTGTTGTTGGCAGCCAGAGAACAGTTTGATCCCAAGGCGCAAATGCCTTCACCCTTTTGCCAAAGTCCCCTCACAGGACATATTCAATTCCTCAACCTTCAGACCCAAAACGGCTTGGTATTACACAACAATTCAAGAAAAGGGGCAAGTAAGTGTGTAGAGATTACACCACTTTTATAGGTAGTGGGCTAGAGTCATTCATTTCTCACAGAGGACGGTTAGAGAAACTGGGTAATCAAGGTAAACCCTGGAACAGGACTCGAGGTTCCAAAAATAAGACCCCAGTATGGAGGGGCTGTCATCAGTCTTGCTGGCCTAAAGTGCTGGTTGGAACGGTGGCATAAGTCTTCTATGATACCCGGTTCTTCGCACCAACAAAGCCTAGGTCCGGGGTGACAGTCCCCTAAAAAGCGGAGTCACTTTTTCTCCCATCCGGCTCGGCCCGTGGAATATAAGGAAACCAAGGGGTGCTGTCGGGTGCTCCCCCTCCCCGAATTCCGGACATCGCGGCGAGTCCCACGGGGCAAGGACAAGGGGAAAGTAGGTAAGGTGGCCAGGTCCCAGCCCCAGGCTCCTCACCCAACAAAGTTCCGTCATCTGGTGCACCAGCTGCTGGAAGCGCTGCTTCTGAGTCTCCACCTCGATGAAGTGCTGCAGCTGCGGGTCCACTGAGCCCAAACCCGCCGCGGAGGAATTCGAAGAGGAAT